CTGAAACAGAAAGAATAATAATAATTATTGAAATAGACATACAAGATTTTAAAACATACAATAAATTCCAAACATATGTAAACTATAGATACATGCATTTATGTAGTAAGTATTAAAACATGTTATCAATCAAATATGATTTGTATAGCCCATATTCACAAATCACAATTTGTCTCATAGGGCTTAACAAGGTGTGACACCCTCTCCTGTTATACAAATATATGTATATGTATATGTATATACTGCAGTCCGTACAAAAACTATAACTATCACACATCTGGTAGCAGAGCTTCAGTAGCTGTTCTAGAGCTTTCCATCTTATCACGTCATGTAACATGCTCAGGTGTCATGTTACATTGCATTGGGATTATTTTGTCAACTGCTGTTTCTGAGGCCAAGAAGAACTTTAAATCTAATCACACGATGTAGCTCTCACATGTCATGTCTTGGGTTCTCTAGTTTTCTGAATTGAAATCTCCTAATGTCTTCACTTTTGCAACAAGCACATTTCAAGAACATCATAACCTCCAACCCTTTGCATGAGGCTGCATTCGTTTTTGGGGTGAGCGCAACAACTATTTGTCCATTCATGAGAAAGTCTTGCTGCAGTGTCACGCCACCAGATGGAGCGTGCACAGAGTGTCATACCTCCTCCTGTGAGTGCAAACCTCAGCAAAGACCGAGAAGTCTGAGGTAAGCACAGACATAATGGATAAGGTCATTTGTTCCCGCTCTTAAGTGTCTGATAGTGAAGTGCACACTCGTACTGATGCAGACTGTTATAATGCACAACAGTGAACAAAATGAATAATATTAACAGTGACAGCTCTGGAGGCGAGGCTGTGCTTTTATGTAACCTGAATGTAAAATTTGAGCCATATTTCTTTTATGTGTGATGTGTGATCTGCTTCTCATGTGAGAAGGGAGAGTGGAACCTGATAAGGACATGGGCGACTCAAGCCTCGAGGAGGAATGTGGCAGTGATTGAAAACTGTCCCATGTGTTTGGTGAAAAAAGGGAAAGAGTCACAAGGAGGCCGAGTCTTGTTTTCGTCATTTGGTGAACCAGCTTCTCTAATTGTGTTGGTTTCATGGTCTGTTAATAGATTTTGCAATATTTTCCATGCAGTTTGTTTTACTGTGTCATTTAGATTTAAAAAAAAATGGGATTGGACATACCACAACTCAAATGACCAGAATTTCCCTTTAAACTGGTTTTCTGTTTCACATATTAATATTTTACGTATTTTACAATCAACCTCAGAGACAATTTAGTTTCATGATATAATTATGTTTTTTAGTCTCAATCTGAGAAATCTGTTCTTGTGTTCAAGTCATTACTGAAAAATCTCTTCCTACTTATTCTTCTCTATGACACGAAATGATATGATACAAGACAAGATAAGGTACGATACTGAACAATATGATAAGATGCTATGTGACAAGATATGATACAATAATATTTTATTAGCTCCACAAACTTCATTGTGATTTAATGGTGATTTCTTAGACTTGAGGTTTTGAGGTTTGTCGTATTACATTTCCACAATTACATATCAGTGCTTTGATCTAAATGAGGTGGAGAAAACCTTTCTGGCTTTGATTATCGAAAAGAGCTTTTTACTATTCAAAAGAGCCTCTAAACAAACCACTGAACTGAGTTAATAATCGAAAAGGTGCTAATATTAAATCAAGTGAATAAATTAATTAAACCCACGAGGAAATTCTCACAGATCCACTCAAACATTTCCTGCATCTCCTATAAAACCAACATGTGACACTTCAACAGTGCCACAAAGGCACATTTGAACCTGGTCACCTTGTTCTTGGCGTCATGGCCACCAGGAGAAGCTGATACTTTCGGTGCAGAATGTACGAGCAGTGACACAAATGTTTAGGTGACGACACTCAGGATTAAAGACCTGAGAAAAAAGAAGAGAGGGGTTGACACTTCCCTGGAGTGTGTTTATACACTAGAAATAAACTATATAACATTAAAAAGTTGACTTTATTTCTTGATAAAGTCAAAATAAGTGTATAAGGCTACAGTTTCGTAACTGCAGGGCTAATACCAACAATGTACAATTATAAGCAGTGGAGGTTTGGAAAAAGATGCAAAACACTGCTGATAGCATCTTCACTGCTTCATTTACATCTTTATGCAAACTACCAGGATTATTTATAACCATAACAATAGTGCTTTTTATTTATATAGCACACTTCAACTACAAAAAGGGAGTAAAAATGAAAATCAGAGACCCATAAATAGCAGGGACAGACAATGTTGTACCATGTTGATCATATGCTACTTTTTGTCCGGTGAAATTTAAGTAAAGGAACTAATTGAAATTATGAAAGATTTACGAAAGATATATATGAAAGGATAAAATAGAATCTCATATGAATTAACAAATAAAAACTCCATCACATCTTAGTAATATCTAATAAAACACCTTGTGTGCAGTGCTTCCATCTGACAATGACAGTGAATTCAAGACAGAATAAAACAGTGACCTCAGTCATTGTATCCAAATAACTAAAATCATTGTAATCATACACTTTATTCATGAGGAACTTTTCAACTACACTGAGTAGAAATTACAATCAGAACCATAAAATCCCTCCTTGTAGGACATACACGTTTTGTAACATGACAGCAAGTATAGTTCTGTGATCCTTGAAATAGAAAAGAAGAAATTGTGCCTAAATGGATAATTAATTCCATTAAGGCAAATTAAATGAAGTGAAGGAACTAGCAAGTACAATGAAATAATAACAAACAAGCTCATATGAAGTGAAAATATTCAGTATTTCTATATAATTTAAAATGACCTTAATCAAAACTGATGATTTAAACACCATGACATAGCACTATATAATAATAATAATAATAATAGTAGTATCTGATAATGTGCAGTACGTCCATCTGGAAATGTAGTATGGCAAACTAAAGAACAAGAGTATTCCTCCACAATGACAAACATCCTCTAAATATAAAAATAGCACAGTGGAGGAGTGACAGGTGGAGGGAGGAGATCCAGCCATGTACATGTGATCATACATAATGAGAACATGCATGTGTGTGCGAGCACAGCTGCACGTAAGAGGCCACATCCCACGTCTGTAACATGCGGACTCTCGCCTCAGCCCCTACGCAGAGCACAGCTTCCTGTGTTGCAGCGCCTCGTGTAAAGCTCTTCCTCTCCGAGTTTCTTCATGACGTTATTCAGAGGCAGAGAGGAAAATGATGAACGGTTCAAAAGATCTGTGTTTGCAGATAAATACGTTTCTATGTCATTACAGTGAGAATTAGTTTGAATGTGGTTGCTGACCGGGGGTTAAGCACAATGACAGGAATGCAATGCATCCACAGAGCACTTTATTAGGGACACTTACACACAGTGGTGGGTTGTAACAAAGTACTTTTACGTCATCAATGTACCTAAGTACTGTAAGAACATTTTTTGTATCTTAAGTTTACTTAAGTGCATTTATTTTCAGGTTCTTTTCATTACTACATACAATCTGTATTTTCTACTTCACTAGATCTTTACATTGCATTGCATTACAAACATATTTTTTCTGGCTAATTAATAACAAGAGGAGAATTGGTCGATTGATCAGAGCGTTCAGGTAACATTAGACTCCACCTCCTGCAGCAGCATCACTGAAATGGAAGAAGAGGCCACTTTTAAGACTCATTTCAGTCGCATCATCTGCAGCGTTTTTATTTAACTTAGTCTTCTTGTATTAAATAAAATATGGAGGTGGCCCAGTTCATGATGTAGTAGAACTTTGCATTAGGGAACACGCTACTCCCTGCAATTACTTTTAGTACTTTAAGTATATTTAAAAGCAAATACACACTTTTACAAAAGTCAGGTCAGAGGTCAGAGGGGAATAACCAGTCTGTAACCACTCTTCAAAACAAAAGCATCTCAGAATAAACAACAATTCAAATTCTTGAGGTGGATGAACGACAACAGCAGCCGAACACGACCGAATCACAGGCTCCGCTGGGAAGATGGGAAAATGCAGCTAGGTCATGAAACTGAACCTCTTCACAGAGCAGAAGTTGTCTCAAACTTTTTACACCAGTGTCCTCCCCCAGGTCACCGTGTCTGAATCCAACAGAACATCTTTAGAGAGTTGTGATCATGGACGTGCATCTGACAAATCTGCAGTAATATTATGCGATAATCTTCTCAACATGGAGCAGAATCTCGAAGGGGTGTTTCCCACATCTGGTAAAATCAATGCATCAAAGAATTAGGCAGTAATAGTATTATCATGAAGCTGAAAATCAATTACACCACAAAGTACTTCCCTTACATTTGTACATCTGACTGTATGAATTTCACTTTAGCTTTCTATGCTAAATGCTGCTGTGCCCCACGTTAGCTGTGCCGTAAATTCCTCAATGAACCCGAACCTCCTGATAACAAAAGGTGAATTTAACCACAACAGAAGGAGTTTATTTCTTCAATTTGAGAACACATTATATTTTTCCCAGCTCGGACCAGATAAAGCAATTTCTCTGCGTTTTTTTTTTTTTGCATAAGG